GCAGCTTCCTCCACTTCTTTGGTGTTAAAAGTGGCAGTTCCTTGCATTTCAGCTTCCAAAATTAAATGTGGCCAGGTCTGCTGCGTAACAAAGCAAGGGACCCCCCCCCCCGCCCTGGCATGCTGATCCCGTCCTGGGAGGGCCAGGTGTTTCCCTGTGAACAAAGACGCACCGTCACACGGTGCTCCAGTGGGGCCTCCTAGTGTCCACATCCCGCGCCGGATGACAGGCAGGACCCTGGGCCATTTGGGGACCCTGGAAGACGGGCCTGGCCCCCGAGCGCAGGACCCGGACTCAGCCCCTTCCCTGCCCACAGCTGGGCCTCGCTCAGCAGCGCGGGACGTGATCGCGGGGCAGGCCAGGCACGCGGGCCGAGAGCCACAGCGGGATTCCTGGGCCGGCCGGGGATTTATCCGCGTTTCTCCGCCTCTCGGGCCGGACCAGGCCTGGAATTCCTAAAATGGAACTATAATTAGGAGGGTGTAATTAGCCATCTGGCTTCCTGTCCCGCCTGCGGCAGGCACTCGGAGGGGCCCAGCGGAGCGGGCACGTGGGACGGACCGGCTGCGCGTGAAGGGGCTGGGGCTGCCGACGGCCGGGCCTCGGCTGTGTCCTCCTGGGGATGCAGCCCGGGCCGTGGGCAGCGCTCGAGAGGGAGCCGGCCCGGCACGAAGCAGTAGCCCGGGGCTTTTGCGCCCCGGTCTGGGCCTGGGAGGCCTCCGTAGAGGCGCCCTCCCCCAGGGCGTCTTTTCGGGGCCACTCGGCAGATGCGGCACCTGTGTGGCCTGCACGGGGTCTGGCAGCAAGGGATCGTGCCGCGCAGGAAGCGAGGGCACCTTCTGGACCCCAGAGCTCTTGCTGTCCCCCGGAATCGCCCGTCCAGGCCGAAGGGAGCTGGATCCGGCTCCCCCCACATTCTCCTGGGAGCGGGGCTGCCCCCCAGTAGGAATGCAGCCCTTGGGTGGGGGAAGCCAGTCTGGCGGCACGCACGGCTTCCAGGCTCCCCCCCCCGCACGCCGGAGGGAAGGGCTCGGCTCACCCCCGCCCGCCTCCAGCGCCTCGCCGGGGCTGCCGGGCTCCCTCCCCGCAACGCCTCGGCCGCGCGGCTGGCTCATAACCCGGTCATCCTCACTCTCGCTCAGCGCTAATTGCAGCCTGCGAGCCCTGAGGGGCCGCCTGGATCCGGCCAAGCTCCAGAGGAACGTGGGCATTATCTCTGCGCCCGGAGGACCGTCTGCACGCTCCCGGGCGGCAGGCGGGGCGGGCGGGGAGCGGCTCAGAGGCCCTTGGCACAGGCGAGGGGCTGATGTCGGGGGGACAGCGGCAGAAGAGGTGCCCCATGGCTGGCCGGGGGCCCTGCCGTGGCCGGGTCCCCAGATGCTGAATGGCAGAGGCTGAAACCGGCGCCACACGCCAGACCCATGGGGAACCCAAGCGATGGCTGCACTCACTGCACCTGAAACTGCGGAGAGCGCCGGCTGCTGCCTCGCTTGCGGGGAACGTCGCCGTCCAGCGAAGCCTCCGGCGGGTGGACAACCGCTCCCACCCTGCCCGGCCTCCGGCCGCCTGCAAAGGGGGCTTCGCGCTGCCCCTCCAGCGGGCCGGCCCTGGCTGGTCAGAGCACGGCCTGCGCAAGCGGCTTTTGCTGCCATTAGCCGGGCTGGCTGGACTGGGGGGCGTGTGGCCCGACCGCCCCAGAGAGTATGGCTGGAAGCCACCCCCGCTGGCCCCCCACAGCCCTCGGGCCGGCTCTGGACCACGCGGATTCCGAGCGACGGAGCCCTGTAAAGCCGCAAGGTCCAGCAGCTGCCCTTCCGGACCCCAACCCCTGGCCCGCTGCAGCGAGGGCACCTGCCGCCCAGCCGTGCTGGGCAGTGCCCCCTTTGCTCCGAGCCGGGGAGGGGATGGATCCAGCCCTCCGAGCTGCCCCTCCAGCTGGCGCCAAGGGTCCCCCCCCCACCCCGAGGGCGGGCAGGCTCTCACTTTCGTGCGGGGAAGCACGTCTGCCTGAGGGCCACTCCACGCACCACCCGGGGGGCAGCAGTGGGGCGTGCTGGGGTCCAGTGGGCTCCCCCGGGAGGGACGGCCTGCTCCCCGCCTGCCGACCCGAGCGGAGCAGGGATAAGGGGGCCGGCAAGGGACACCCCAGGCCTGCCGCCGGCTTCACTCCTGGGCATCGCATTGGCATCCTCCGGCTCTCCCCACAGCAACCGTGGGGTCTGCGTGGCCCCACAGGCCACATGGGGGCACCGGCTGAGATTCACACATGGCCCACCTGCCCCACGCTGCCCCCACGGCCTGCATCACGGAGCTCTGCTCGGGTTCTGCAAAGAGGGCCCGGGCATCGGCCACGGCGGCCCCGTGGTGCTCGCGAGGTGCTGCTTCTGGCCCCAGCAGCCTCAGCACACCTGCAACCCCATTGGGGTGGGCGAGGCTCCCGCTGCCCCAGAGGCGATGTGGGGCAGGGGGAGGCGTGGCCTGCCTGGAGCCGCTCAGGGGGCCTTGCCTGTCCTGCTTCTCTCGGCCACTTGGAAGGGGAAGACCTGCAGAGAGGGGCTCGTGAGGAAGGGGCACAGGTAGCAGAGGGGTGGGATGGACAGCTCCCGCGGATGGCCGAGGGGGGGCCCAGCTGCACCCCACTGTGGGAGGCACTGAGGCCCCCGCCAGGGGTGCTGCCACCGGGGAGCCCCTTGGCCTGGCTCAGCTGCCTGTCCTTACAAGGGGGGCTTCCTAACCCCCCCTCTCCCCCCTCCCCGACCAGACAAGCACAGCCAACCCCGCACATCTGGGCTTTCTGGAGGGGGCTGCACCCCAGGCTGGGGGGGGGGCGCCGAGGGGCGTTCGGGGGCGAGACGGCCTGGGAGGTCTCCGGGGACTCTCCTCCGACGGTCCGGACCCCAGCCTCACACAGGGGCAGCGGTGGGGCGGCAGCAGGCCCAGGGCCCTGCCCCACTCCGCCGGCGGCCCCTCCCGCCTCTCTCGCACGGGGTGGAGCTGCCCAGGGTGGCCGGCCGAGCCGGGAGGCAGGAATGCTCTTCTGGGCTGTGGCCCAGTGGCCGGCTATTCCTGGCACCAGGCGTGGCGGCCCCAGCGCCGCAGAGCCGCAGGTCTAAAAACGGCAGCAAGGTACGGGGGCGCATACCTCCGAGGAGCCGCCCGGCTTTCTCCGGGGACGGCGGCATCTACTGCACTCGCCTATCTGTGTAAACACACACACACACGCACGCCTACAAACTGTACAGCCCACAGAGGCACGATCAACAGCAGCTCTCATGCCGGCACGGCAAATCGTGGGGGCCAGTCCGGGATTCGGGCTGCACAAACGCCCCCATCAGGCCAGGACCAGCGGTCTGTGCTTGTGCCGATACTCCGCACATGGTCAGAAGCCCCCGGTTATGACCGCCACGCAGCAGGATCGCCGCTGCTTGCCGCTGCATCTCCTGCGGTCGTGATCTCTGGCCCCAGACCCGTGGAGACCCGTCTGGTGTGGAAGGGGGCCCCGGAGCCCCCCTGGGATGGGGACAGTGGGGGGGGGCCGGCCACCCCACACTCGCACGAAGCCGGGGCCTTGCGGCGGAGTGGGGCTCCTCTCTGGGAAGGCGGCAAGCTGGCCCCCCGGCCCCCCCACACATGCAAAGCAGTCTCAGGCCGCCCCCCCCCCCGCAGAGAGGCTGCTTTTTCGGCAGCCACGTGGGAGGGGCCGAAGGGGCCGCCCCCCCTCCCTCCCCGCGCCTCCGCTCGCCAGGGTCTGCACGGCCTGCCAGGGCCGCCAGGTGAGGGGCAGGACAAGGCCCCATTGATGGGGGGAAGAAGCCCCCCTTTGTGCGGCTGCTGGCGGGCCGCTCCCGGCCAGGCTGTGAAAACACCGGCCAGCCGGGCAGGGACTGAGCCCCATTCATGGGCAGGAGGGGCCCGGGAGAGCTGGGGTGCGGGGGCAGCGCCGTGGCTATGGGGGTCAGCCCAGGCCATGCCTGCGGCGGGGGGGGGCGGGGGGCAGTGCTGGGCCCAAGGCGGCTTTGGCGCGAAGCAGACTTGCCAATCGGCCTCCAAGTTTCCTCCTGGGCTGCTTGGGGCGGGGGGTGCAGGGGCCGCCCCGGGCCCCCTGGCCAGCCCGGTGGTATGTGAGGTATTTTGTGGGGGGGGGGGGAGAGGCTGCTTGCCCAGGAGAGCCACCTCCCCTCCAGGTGGAAAGCTGGGGGCATGCCGAGGCAGCGATGCCTGCAGGAGCCGGTCCCCCCTGGGTGGGGGCAAGATGGGGGCGACGCCCCCTCCCCAAATTAGGGGCGCGATCTGTGAGGGACGGGGTGCCCAAGGGCTCCCCCCAAGCTTAAGTGGGAGGCCTGGACTGCAGGTATCTCAGCGGCAAAGGGCACGGTGCTCTGCACATGCCCAGAAGCCTTGCCAGGCTCCTTGTTTCAGGGGCTCCCTTGACCCCTGCGGGGGCGGCAGGGCTGGGTGTGGGGCGGCACACAGAGGGGCGGCAGGGCAGAGGCTGCCCCAGAGAAACCCGAGGAGGACCAAAGGCAAGGAAGATTGGGGGGGGTCCCCAAAGGCTCTGCAACGCCAGGGGCTGCTCGAGACCACCCCCCCCATGGGGCAGCCAGCAGCAGCCACGCAGAAAGAGGCTCCCCACACGGGGGGGGGGGGTGCAGGGCAGCGGGGCGAAGGGGGGCCACGCCGGCCACCCCACCACAAGGCAGGGTGCCACTGCCCTCTGCTGGCCACAGGGGGGACTGCACCAAGGAGCCGAACTCCTTTGCCCCCCATGCCGGGAGCTCCCTGAGGCGGGGTGGGGGGCACGGGCAGGGCTGCGGCGGGCTCCGATCCCCGGGGTGCCCGCTGCATGCTGCCTGCTTCGGCCAGAGCCTGGGCCCAGGCTCAGGCCAGCCCTCTGCATGTGGGCAGAGGCCCTGCCAGTGCTAAGGAGAGCAGCCACCCCCCCACCCCCGCTGGCCCGGAAAGCGGGAGAGGCGACACAGGAGGCGAGGCGGCGTCAGAGGTGGGGAAATCGGGGCCCTCCGGAAAGAGCAGCTTTATTAAATCAGCATATTCCAAAGCGGTTATCCAGGAGAGGGGGGGGGTCAACAGAAGTCCAATGAACGGGGGGGGGGGGGGGGGGGACGAATGCAGGCATGCAGAGGTTGGGGGGCGGAAAGAGCAACGTGTGCCAAAGAGACCCCCCCTCGCCCAGACCAGCCCAGCCGTTCCTCCCGCCCCACACCTGCCACCCAGGGGTGAGCCCTCCAATGGGGGTCACTCTGTCCAGCGGCGCCCCCACCTCCGGGGGACGCCCGGGCAGGGGTCTGCGCCTGCCCCGGGGAATCGCGGGGCCCCGAAGCAGGGCGCCCTCCTCACTCCCCCCCCAAACGCCCTGCGGGGAGGGCCGGACTCAGCCCCCTCCAAGGAGGGGGTGCGTTCACACGTGCGCTGCCTGCAGCCCCCCCCCTTGCATAGATGGGGACACAGGCCATGCTCAAAGTGCTAAACCAAACAAGGGGGGGGGACCGGGGCTCTGCGCTGGGCTGGGCAGGGCAGGGCACCCCCGGGGCTCTCGGCCACCTTCAACCCCTCTGCACACCCCCAGCCACCCTAAGCAGCTGCCCCAGGGACCCGGGGGGAACGCGCCCTCCCCCCCCCGGCTGAGGCCCTCCTGTGGGGCGGGCGTGAAGCCGCCACCTGGCATCACCCCTTCTCTTAACAGCCTGTTCTGGGGGGGGAGGCACACCCCACTTCCGGGAGAAGGGCCCGCAACTCTGCTGTGCATGCCACTGGCCCCACACCCGCTGCCCCACAAGTACGGAACTGCGACCCAGCGACGCAAAGGCGGACAGGCGGAAGGGGAAACGCGAGAGAGAAAAGGGGCTTCTCCTCCATGCCCGGGACACCCTGCTCGCCCCCCCCAGCCAGGGAGCCCCTGGCGCCTCGCCTGGCCACCAGATTCTGGGCTACGTCCGCCTGCCCCCCTCCAAGGAGGGGGCAGAGAAACGCCCCACCGGGCTGGGAGTGCATCAAAGGGAGGCGGCCAACTGAGGACCGCCTTGCGGGCGGCATGGGGCCACCTACGCCTGACATCCAGCTACTGGGCGGCACAGGGGCCACCTCCCTGCGGGACCCTTCCGAGGGGGGTCTCCCGGGCACGGGGGGGCGGGGAGGCGGGGAGCAGCTGATGGGGGCTGCGGCGCCACAGGGTGGGAGGCGCGGGGGCGCCCGTCCGGGCCACGCGCGCCTGCGCAGCCCCCTACGCCCCCGGCGGTGGGTGCAGGTGCGGGGCCTCCTCGCGGCCGGGTCAGGACATCTGGTGCGGCGCCTCCAGCATCTCCATGAGGAAGGTGTCGATGGGGGTGTCCCCGATGAGCTTGAAGAAGAAGAGGTGCTCCAGGCACTTCAGCCCGATGGACCGCAGGGCAGGCAGCCGCAGCAGCAGCTTGGCGAACCTGGGGGGGCAGGTGGGGGTCGCTCAGCTGCGCACGCGTGGGGAGCGCCGGCCCCTCCTCAGCGGAGATGACGCCGGGCCGGCGGGGTCCTCGGGCCGGCGGGACCCTGCCTCCACTGCTCGAGGGGCACCGGCCTCCGGCCCCCGAAGCCGGCAGGCAGAGCCAGACGTCCCGCTTCTGCCCGCAGCCCCCACAGGGCGCTCCGGCCACTGCACGGAGACCCCTCTGGTCCCGAACCCGCAAGGCCGGGGGTGGGCGGGGAGGCTGGGCGTGGGGCCTTCGTGCAGGAGGGCCAAGGGGGAGTCGATGAGGCGGGAGAGGCGCCCGGTGCCCACCCGAGGGCCCCCGGCGCCTGGCCCGGACCTTCCCCGGCAGGGCAGTGCAGGGGGCTCCGTCTCCACGGGCCGCTCGGGCCAGGCTGGGCTTCATCCTTCCAGAAAGGCCACTGACCCTGGGGTGTTTTACAAGGGCTTAGGCTATCCCCCCCCCCCGGCTGCCCCGACGTGGAGCCCCACGGCGCCACCCCGGCCGCGTACCTGCCCTGCTGCTCGGGGTACTTCTGCTTGCAGTAGGACTCCAGGGAGGCGTACACCTTCTCCCGCAGCAGCTCCACCTCGCCCGGGTTCGAGAGCCCCTTCGCATCTGCAGGCAAGGCAGCGGTTTGAGCACGGCACAGAGGCGGGGGGGCTGCTGCGCGGAGCCCCCCAGCCCGGCCCGGCCAGGGAGAAGCCACCCCGGCGCTCTCCGGGCGGCGCCCGCACCTGGGTTGAAGAGGATGATGGCCCGGAGACAGCCCAGCTCCGTCTTGTCCATGCGCATGTCGCGCATCTTCGACACCAGCTCGGTCAGCACCCTGCAGGGCACGGAAGCAGGAGTGGGCGGCCGGGCGGGGGCTGCCCATCCCGTGCCAGGGGTCCCCCTGCCGCTCTCGGGTCTGGGGCAAATACAGCCCCCCTGAGCCCCCCAAAGCCCTGCTCCCCCCCCGTCCCCCACCTGTTTCAGGGCAGGTTTCCCCTCGTTTGCCAAGGCTGAAATGCCTCTCCCAGGGCCAAGCGACTTAGCCGCACAGAAGCAGAGCGAGTCCGGAGGGGTCTCCTGGGCCATCTAGTCTGACCCCGGCTCCACTTACACCATGCCCACCACGTGCACGTCCAAGCTGACTTGCAGGAAGACCCTTCGGCTACAAAAGGCGGGCACTTGGGGGGCCTCCAGCCCAGCTCAGCCCTGCAGACCAACCCCCCAAGGGCTTCCCCAACCAGGAGTGTTGCCCCCCAGCTGAAAGAGCATCTTGGCCCCTGGCTGGGGCTGATCTCTCCCTCCCGCAGGTCAAAGCCGCCCCATAGCTTTCCGAGCGGAGCTCATTAGCTCCAACGCCCACCCATCAGCTGGGCGCAACTGCCGGGCTTCAGCAGCCGGGGCTCGGCCTCTCTGCCCGCTGTCCCCTCCTTGGAGGGCACGGCCGCGGCCCTCCCAGAAGACGCTCCCGGAGGAGTGGGCCCAAAGCCGACAGCAAGAGGACCCCCGCCTTGCTCGCCCACCTGTCAAAGATGGCTCCCACGCCCGCACTGTGGGCGCTGTTGCGGTGGACGTGCAGCCCCGTGGCCAGCAAAATCCCGTCCTTCACCGAGATCGAGCGGTGCGAGAAGGAGGCGATCAGCAGCTCGTTCCAGCCTGCCGGGCAGAGGGGCGCCGTGAGGCTGGGAGGGCGCCGGGAGTCCCCGGCGCAGGCGCGGGCAGCCCCCGCCCGCCCAGAGCACTCACCAGCCCGGAGCAGGATGACCTGGTCGTCGAGGGGCAGCTCGGAGAAGTGGGGGATGCGCTTCGCCCACTCCACCAGCGTGAACAGCTGCTTGTCGGCAGCCTGGCAGATGTTGGTCACGGGGTCATTGGGCTGCAGGGGCCGAGGGGGAGACGACAGAGGCAGGCGGGTTGTGCGCACGTGCGGCCAGCCGGGCCAAGCAGCCCCCCGCCCCGCCCCGCCCGCCCCCCACGAGCCAAGAGCCCCCCCCCCCCTCGCCTGCCCCCCGCGCCCCCGCGCCGCCCCCCTCAACGCTCGCAAAGGAGTGCGACCGCCCCGCGGGGTATTTACCTCGTTCGCCTCAAAGGTCCGGGGTGAGCGTTCTGATCCCGCAGCACCACCGCCCCAACTCACCGAACTGCCCCCCGTGCCGGATCCGTCGACGCTCTGCTCGGATTTCTGCTCCACGGCCAGCTCGGCCTCCAGGATCTTCTCCACGGGCATGTCCTCGTTGGCGCCGCCCCCGGCCAGGTCCCCCTCCCCCTCCTTGTCCTTGCCACGCTGCCGCTCCTCCTGCACCGCTGCGGGCGCCCAGGCGGGCCGGGGGACACAAGGACAGGGCGTCAGGGCGGCGGCCGGGGGTGCAGGGCCTGCTGCTTCGCGGCCCCCCAGAAGACCGCCTCCGCAAGGGCTCGGAGGAGAGGCCGGGAGGAACCGGGTGGAGAGAGGGCGGGGGAGCAGCCCCCCAGAGGCACCAGCGGGAGGACAGACACCCCCATCCGCTGCGGCCGCTGCCCCGCCAGGGGGAGGCACGGCCTGGGCACTGCCTTCGAAGCGCAAGGCCAGAGGGCCGCGGCCGGGCCCTGGCCGGAGCCCCCCGCACCAGCCCAGCCAAGGGAGCGCCCCCAGGAGCGGCACAGCAGCCCGGAGTGGGCAAGGACCCCGCGGGCCACTCATCCCGCCGGGGATCCCACTTTCTGCAGAGGGAGGAAGGGCTGGCGACCGCCTCCCTCTGGCAAGGCTTCCCTGGGGCAGCGTGGCCAGCGTGACAGAGGCAGCTGGCCAGGAAGCCCCTCTGCGCCCACCGGGGATCCCTGGCCTGCAGGCCCAAGGCCCCCCCAGCTGCCCCCGCGCGGCCCCGCAGGAGGCTCCCCGGCTGCCGGCCCGCCCGCTACCTTCGCGCTTCATGCCGGTGGCCAGGCACTTCTGGTAGCGGCAGTACTGGCAGCGGTTGCGCTGGCGCTTGTCCACGGTGCAGTCCTTGTTGTCGCGGCAGGTGTAGGTCAGGTCCTTCCGGATCGTGCGCTTGAAGAAGCCCTTGCAGCCCTCGCAGCTGTACACCCCGTAGTGCTTCCCTGAGGGAGGGGAGGGGAGGGGAGGGCGGGGGGCAGGCAGGGGATGGGTCCTGACTCCGCACCGCCTGCCCCACGGATCTCCTCCCAGAGGCCGAGGGGCCCCGGCAAGGCCCCTCGGCCCCTTCCCCCAGCCCCTCGCGAGGGCCACTCACTCCCGAGGAAGGCGGCCCTGCCCCCCAAGTGCCCCCAGCGCCCGCTTCCTGCAAGGATCTCCTCGCCCGACCCAGCAGCCCCACCTGCTCTTCCTGAGCTGCATGCTGCACCCCCACCTGCCAGCCACCCCTCCCCGCCCTGGGGAACCCAGGCCCGGCCCCAGGCGCCCCCCCCCCCCCGGGGCACACCTGACGATCGGTCCCCGCAGATGGCGCAGAGGCGCTTCCCGGGCATCATGCCGCTGTGGGGGTGGCCCGGCACCACCCGCATGCCCAGCGGAGGCTTCACGTCGTCCGAGCTGCTGACCGAATGGAGGCCGGACAGGTTCACCGTGGAGTTGATCTGGGGGGGGCGGGAGCAGAGCCGTGGAGAAGGGCCCGCGTGGCTCCCAGCCCGCCGAGCCGGGCCCCTCTCCCCGTGGGGCGCAGGAGCGCCAGCCCGTGCTCACCTGGGGGCTGCTGACGGGCCCGTAGCCGATGGAGGGTGTCGCGGGGAGGCCCGGCGACCCCATCGAGGAGCTGATGACGGGGAAGGGGGAGCCCAGCCCGCTGATGGAGGTGGTCATGGCGGACCCGATGAGGGAAGGGTGCAGGGGGGCCGAGGGCTCCGGCGGGGGCGGCGTCCCTGCGCCCCGCAGCGGAGGAGACGAGCTGAGCGAAGAGCTATCGGGACTCCGGCAGCCTGGCGGAGGGAGGGAGGGAGGCAGGCAGGCAGGGAGTGAGTGAGGGGGCCGGAGGGGTGGCGGCCCACAGGCCCGGGCGCCCGGAATCGGAGTTGGGCGCCGCGGCTCTGGGCCGGGCACAGCCCCTGGTCTCGGCCCTCCCAGCAGTTCCCCAGAAGTGCCCACCCCAGACACCCCAGCTTCCTCTCCGGATATGTCGCAAAGCGGCAAGAACCGCACAGCCCGGCGGTTTCCTGGGGCCGCCACTCCCAGGGAGCCCTGCGGGGGGGAGGAAGCCGCAGGCCCGGGGCCGCTCCCATCTGCCCCTGCGGCCGAGCAGGCAGTGCTGTGGGGGGGGGGGGCTGCCCCGCCAGGCTGCGCAGGGCCTCTGCCGGCGGGCAGGAGCAGCCCACGGGAGGCCCAAGGAGGCACGGGGGCCAAGCGCCTCCCCCCGCCAGCTCTGGGGCGCTCCCTCCGTGGCGCTGGCCGACAGCCCGCGGGCGAGCCATGACTCCCGAGACGTCCCACAGGACTCAGCAGTGACAGCTCCTCATCCCCTCGAGTGAGGGGGAGGCAGGCGGGGGGGGGTGGACTGGGGTTGCACAATGCCACTTCCTCCTGCAGCACCGGGCGGCTGCTGCTGCTTCCCCAAGCCGTGTCCGAAAGCAACCTCCTTGCACAGCCAGCCTGGACTTTGACCCCTTCCTGCTCTGGGCAGCCAGGCCGGCGGGCGGATGGGGAGACGCTCTGGACCCACTGGGAGCCCCACGGCTGCCGAGGGGAGCAGAATCCCAGCTCACAAGCCTGGACTGCTGAGAGGTGAGTCATCGGCTGGGGAGCAGGAAGGTGCTCTCCGCATCCTGCCCACGCTGGGAAGCGTAGGAGCAGAATACCGTTGCAGGCTCCGGAGACCCTGAAGCTGCCAGGCCGGCCGTGCACCGGCTCTGGAGACCGGGTCCCTGCGGAGGCGGGACGGGGTGGCCGGGGACGGTTTCTGGCTCTCGCCGAGCACAGCCTCTGTCTCTGCTGCCGATGCAGCCTCGAAAGCAGAGCTCGGCTGGCTTGCAGCCCCCGGTGGCTCATCCCACACCCCCGTGCAAAAGCAACGGTCTCCACGGACATACAGCAGCTCTCTGCTAGGGATGGGGCACGCCCTGGAGACAGAAGTGCCCCCCCGCCCGATCCCCCTTGGATTCAGGGGCCTGGCTGCATCCACAATTTCCCACTCTCCCCCAAGGGAGCAGCTGCTGCTTTGCATCTGCTTCGCCTGACGGCAAAGAGGAGGCTGCAGAGGCCCAAGCTGCTCCGCTTTCACAGCTACCGCTGGGACCGGGGCCCACGAGTTTTCCCACAGCAGCAAGGCACAGCTGGCTGAGCGGCTCAAGGAACCAAGGCTGGGCAGCGCCTGGGGCTAAGCGCCCGTGCACCCGCTGTCCCCAAGGCACTGCGGGAGGGAGGCCCTGCAGCCAAGCCGGCAGCAGATGCTCTGAGGTGGCAGCAGAAGGCAACTCTTCGGGTCTACCGTGACGACAGCCTGAAATGCTCCGCCCGCGACTTGCAAAGCAGACAGAAAACACACCAAGCAGCCCTCGGACAGACACAACTCCACGGCGAGATGCCAACTTGACTGGTTGCATCCGGCGGGTGGGGTGGGAAGTGTTCGGCCATTTTAGCTTTCCAACCTCCCTCCAAGGTAGGCCTGGCTCAAATTTAGCTTAGGGCCATTTTCAGGGCTAGCCAGATGGTGGAGCTTGGGTCACTGGCCCAAGTCCGACAGCCTGGCTCCTCCACATCCTTTGAACCCAGCAACGACCTCTAGCCAAGTTGCCCACGCCGGGTCCTCTTCACTCTCTGACCTCCGCGGCTGGTCCCACGGTCCCGATGCGTCTGCACACGGAGGCTGCACAGGCCAAAAAGAGCTTGGAATAAGCAACTATTGACCTGGCGGATAACCGTGGGACCTGTGGCCACTGCAGGGTCACCAAAGCATTTGCCAGCAAAGGAATACACAGCCTTGCACCGCTTGACTGGCCTTCGGTGGCGAGGCGGGGAGCCAGGTGGCGAGGCAGGCACTTCAGGACTGCCCAGCGGCCCGGCCAGGAATACTGTGCTGAAGTCCAGAGTCCAAGGGCAAATCCTTTTCCCTGTTTTTCCCCTCAGCACAAACATTCAGAACTGTGCAGTGGGCACGCCGTGAGCAGAGCCGGCCGGGGGTCAGACTAGATGGCCCGGGAGCCCCCTTCTGACTTTCTATGTATCCTCAAAAGGCCTACAGACAAAGAGCGGTGGGCTCACAGAGCACAGAAGAGAAGCTCTAACTGCTGCAGGCCGGCCAGGACAGCAGCTACAGCCGCGGTACCTCAGCAAGTTCTAGGTTGCATCTCCCTCTTCCTTTGCAATACCTGGACATGCCACCGATCCTCCAATGCAAGGATCCCGGCAGAACGCATATGCCCAAAGTGCAGCTGTGGAACAAGTAAATCCCATTCCCGGGATCATCAAGAAAGGGATCAGAAATAATTCTGCCAATAACGTCAATCTCTCATGCAAATAGATGGTGCAACTGCATTTGGAGAACCGCGGACGATTCTGGCCATCTCATATTCCAACAAGATACTGTGGGATCGGAAAAGGTACAGAAAAGAGCAACCAAAATAATCAAGGGGCGCTGAGCAGCACGCCGCAAGAAAGACGTGTTTAGGAGCGTCTCAGCTCAAACGAAATTTCAAGTCAATGGGGTTATTTTTTAAAAAAAAGGTGAAATTATGCATGGAGTGGAGAAAGTGAGTAGCATTCCTAGAGCCCGGGGTTATTCAATGAGACTTAATGTGGGGAGAGCTTTGCAAATACCCTGGACCAATACAGATGAATGAGGGGGTCCCGGATCAAATAAAGCCGGAGTCTACCCTAGAAGCAAACTGAGGCTGTCCTATTCTGGACACACGAGAGGGCCAAACTGCCTGGAGAACAAAGGAAATAGAAAACAAGGTGGGCCCAATACGAGATGGAGTGGCCCTCTAAAGGAGCCTACAGCCTGGATTTTCTGAGAGCTGAGCAGGGCTGTCACGGCCAGGCCACTGTGGAGAGCTCTCGTTCATGGGGCTGCCATAAATTGGTGGTGACCTGACAGCACAAAACAACAAACAGGAGACGCCAGACACACAAACAGAGCACTTCTTCAAGCGAGGCGGAGTAAAAGGGTCAAACTTGCTACCGCAAATTGCAGTGTTCTTTGAAACGAGCCCATCACTGGCTCCTAATCCCGAGGGCGCCATGCCGCCCCCGGTCTCAAAGGCAGCCACCCATGAGCACCACCTGCCGGGCAACTCTGGCCGGAGATGCTGCTACACTCGCATCCGGCAGGTGGGCATCCTCCGGGAGCCGCCGTGGGAACCGGGTGCGGGACCAGACGGGCCCGCACTCCGACCCACGGGGGCCTTTCTGATGCTGCCCCACTAAATTCCAACTAAGGGATTTGCACAAGAGGTGTTATGAGACGCGAATGTTGCCTGCCAGGGTTAATACGGAAATTGCCTCCTTTCCAGCTGTTGCGCTGCGTGCGCTACCCAGATCTTTGGCTACGGGGGCCGTGGCGACTTCTAAATTTCCTGGACTTCCTGGGAGGTGCTCCCAGCCCCGGGCCTCCCTTCGCTGCAGCGCGGCGGCCGCCCGCCCACCCGCCCCCACCCCGCAAGCGCGCGAGGCGCCCCCCGACCGGGGGCCCGCCAGGTGCGCCCCCCCCGCGCCCAGCACGCCTCGCCCGCGGCTGGGGCCATGGGGCGGGAGCTCGCCGCACCCGGAGGGCCGCGGGCGGGGCCGCTCCCAGCCCTCGGGCGCCCGTCC